GTCCCGCCTGCTGGTTCTGGGGAGGACTGGGGGTGGTGTCCTCCCAGGTATATTATTTCCGGGGGACCCCATGGGGTTCGCACGGCGTCCCAAAAGTACCCCGTATAGGCTCATTATTGTAGCTACGAGCCACTAATTGGTCTGAATTCTGCTTTGTGGTCCGTGAAAGCCTACCTTGGCCTTGAAGTCCTCGCATACACCCAACTCATTGTGACTTGCTTGACTCTATACTCGCCACCACCATGCCGCGCTTCGTCATCGGCAACATCTATGTGATTGCGTCCATCGCCGTGGTCGGAGGCGGTCTCTTTGGCTTCGACATCGCCTCCATGTCCGGCATCCTCGGCACCGCCGGCTACAAATGCTACTTCAATCAAGGTCCCGAAGGGCCCCCTTTCAACGACAACGAGAACTGCTCGGGGCCCAAGTCCCTTGTCCAGGGTGGGATCACCGCGTCGATGGCGGCGGGGTCTTGGGCCGGGGCGCTGATCTCGGGGTACATGTCCGACTGGCTCGGGAGGAAGATGTCCATTATCCTTGGATGCCTGTTCTGGTAAAGAATAATGGTCAAAGAAGACTGGGGTTTTGAAAAGACTGACCGAAATTCAGGATTGCCGGGTCTACCGTCTCCGCCGCGTCGCAGAATATCGGCATGCTTATTGGGGGGAGAATCCTCAACGGCGTCTCCGTGGGCATAGAATCTGCGCAGGTCCCGGTCTACGTCTCGGAGTTGGCACCACCCTCGAAGAGAGGCCGTTTGGTTGGACTCCAGCAGATGGCCATCTCCTGCGGAATCATGACCATGTATTAGTGAGTCGAGCCCTCCACCTCAACGACTTTTAGTGCATCCTTCGCTGATAGGCGACAGTATCTCTTACGGCGGAGCACATATCGGCGGCCAGACTTCCAGCACCTACAACCCGCTCTCCTTCCGTGTACCGTGGGCAATCCAGATGGTGCCAGCGATCTACCTCATGATTGGCATGACCTTCCTGCCCGAGTCGCCTCGCTGGCTCGCTAAAAAGGATCGCTGGGAGGAATGCAAAGCGGTCTTGACGCTGGTGCACGGCAAAGGCAACCCTGACCATCAACTGGTGGTTTTGGAACTGGCCGAGATCAACGTGACATGCGAGCTTGAACGGCAGTTTGGCGATGTCACTTATTGGGAGCTGTTCAAGCCCAAGATGATCAATCGCACGATTATCGGCGCCTTCGATCAGATCTGGTGTCAGCTCAGTGGGATGAACCTGATGAGTAAGTGGCCGGTTTCTCCCTTTTATCTGAAACACGGCGAATATTGATTGTCTGGCAGTGTATTATGTGACCTTTGTGTTCGGTATGGCTGGGTACAAGGGCAACTCCAATCTCCTGGCTTCGTCGATCCAGTATGTCATCAACGTGGTCATGACAATCCCTGCCTTGATCTGGGTCGATAGATGGGGTCGTCGACCGACGCTCATGGTTGGAAGTATCGGATGCGCCATCTGGATGTTCGCCAGTGGAGGCGTCCTAGGCACATACGGTACCTTTGTGCCCGGCGGCGTCAACGGCGTGGCAGAACAATCGATGCTTATCAGTGGCGCACCCGCAAAAGCGCTGATTGCATTCACATATCTATTCGTCGGTACTTTTGCAACAACCTGGTCTCCGGTATCTTGGATCTATCCGCCAGAGCTGTTTCCGCTACGGGTTCGGGGAAAGGCTGTGGCCTTGAGCACATCTGCCAACTGGGCCTTCAACACGGCCTTGGGACTATTCGTCCCGGTTGCGTTTGTCAACATTCAATGGAGGACGTACCTTATCTTCGGGACATTCCTGATCGCCTCCTTTATACACGTCTTCTTCTTTTTCCCCGAGACCTCCGGGAAGACTTTGGAAGAAGTGGAAGGCATGTTCGAGGATCCTCATGGGATCAAGTACTTGGGAACACCGGCGTGGAAAACTCACAAGGAGACCAAAAGAGCTTCGGCACTGGAACGTAACAGTATCGATGCTAGTGAGTTGGAGGCATGGAAGGCTGAAAGCAAACCAGTGGAGGCGGCAACGGTCGTGCACCAAGAAGTTGCTTGAGTTGCAGGTCATGTCTCAGCATCAGGTGGTCCAAATTAACGGGTTAAGCAGCTTTCGGCATGGAGGTCCAAATGGAGCTAGTTCCAGGGGGATATGTATCCATCTCTCTAACAAGTGGTAGTGGAGATGCGCCCGTGATCGAGAAAAGGGTAGATATCTAGACGATCAGATGATCATAGTCAAGGTAGATCTGACACGCTTCAGAGTGCTCGTTGGGAATCTGAGCTCATGTTTCTGTTGAAAGCTGAACGGTCCGTAGCTTTGGACGGAACCTTTGATCACTACGACTGTAGTTCTGTAGTAAGAGGTCAGTCAAACAGAACCGGGGAGTAACTTACCCCATAGAGGGAATAGGAAATAGATTGCGGAGACCTAGACTAGCTCCTTCTTTGATGCTCGATCTGAGCATATGCGCTCTCCATGATTTTCGCTCAAAAGAACGCAAGGACGGTCCGGAGTTGAAGTGTGGCAAGTCCATGCCCATGTCATTCTGCATATAACCGAGAGTCGGCCACCCTTGAATGCCCGGAAAGAATAGCTTTTCCAAGGGTTCAATATGATCCCTGCCTTTCTTCTCGACCCCTGGCTAGACGTGAACCACTTCGAAAAACTGAAACAGACCGACAAATCTTTAATACTAACTCGCAAAACTTTACCTTGCCTGAGGTGTCTCCGTCAGTGGAAGGGTTGAGGTCATATAATCACAGGCGGCCTGACTGGATCTTACACCACGATCCCTGACCTGCCCATCAAGACCGACTTTGAATGTTCAATATGTCTGGCTCCATGCTGCAGGGGAAAGTGATCGCCGTTGTCGGCGGAGCTTCTGGAATCGGCCATGCCGTGTCAACGCTCCTAGTCGAATTAAAGGCTAGAGTCGCCATTGCCGATATCCAAGACGAGCTTCTCGCGTCAGTCCAGCAGGAACTGAGCGCTGCCGGGGGCGAGGTCTTGACTCACAAGGTTGACATCACCAATCGAGAGCAGACCGAAGCGTGGCTAGCAGACGTTGAGAAGCAGTTCGGTGGCCTGGACGGTGCTGTCAACCTCGCTGGGATTATTCCAAAGTCACACAACAAGGGGACGATCTTGGACCAGACAGATGGCGATTGGGACAATGTCTTTGCAGTCAATGTGCGTGGGATGATGAACTGTGTGAGGGCAGAGATTCCTCATCTGCTCCGACGCGGCGGAGGAAGCATCGTCAACTTCTCTAGCACTCTCGGCCTCGTGGGACGTGCAGAAGCGGCGTGCTACACGGCAAGTAAGCACGCTGTGATTGGCTTGACGTCCAGCGTGGCCAAGGAGTTTGGTCGACAGAATATAAGGGTCACAGCAGTTGCACCGTCAGTGTCCTATATCCAATCCCTGCCATTATTCTTGCGTGGTTCACGATGTAGTACAGTACGGACTTTTGAAAGCTCAAGAACTGACCAATGTTAACCTATAGTGGCCTCACTCTGACCCCGATGATGCAAAGGTCCATCGACGCCGACCCCAAGGCGGCGAAGGAAAAGGAGAATCCCGAAATTTGTGCCTTGGGCCGGTTCGCGCAGCCCATTGAAATTGCAAAGACGGTCGCCTTCCTGCTGAGCTCGGACGCCAGTTTTATTACGGGTGTGACTGTCAGCGTTGATGGGGGTTGGGTTTGTTAGAGCTGAATGGAAAGAGGCCGTAAGGAGATTCAACAACCTCATCTACCTATACTTAACCAAGCATCCGGGATAACGCCTGCAATGTGAACTTTGATATGATGGTGGCAGTGACTCTCCGAAAAAGCATTGAGAAGGGAGGCCATTGCTCTCTCGAACTGGCGCTCTGGTACAGATGCCGCAATGCCTGTGATAGAGTGAATAAAAGTGTGTTCGGACAAACCATGAGCGGTTTTGTGATTCAGTGGAGGAACATTGTGAATCCTACTAGGTCCTGAGGACCTGTCAGACTATCGTTATATGGTTTTTTCCACGTTTCTCTCACAAACCAGAACTCCAACCTACGCCCCATAATGTGCACTGAAATTGTCCTTTGTTCCATAAAGATGCAGTCCCCAAAGATAGAGTATGTCTCCCTCAACTCAATGTCAAGGTGGCCGTGAATGTCAAAGCCAGAGCGAATGAATATGTCACCAGTTTTTCCCCCGGTCCGCGCCTGCATATTTGATCTGGACGGTCTTCTCCTCAACACTGAAGACATCACCACGTCATGCACAAGCTTCCCAACTCGTATTCCGTAACGCGTTGATTTGAGCGAATATCCGTGAGGTCAAGCACACAAGGTATAGTCAGTTTACTTTCACTTACGCGGAATGGACTTCTTGTCGCAACGTATAGCCATAGCCCTCCGTAAGACGAACTAGTTCTATCTCCTCCAAGTCACAAGTCGAGACAGCCCGTCTACACTCACTCACCCACTCCTTGCAGTAGTCGGACCGGAGACGCTTGTGTCCTATTGGCTAATTTCAAAAGTGGAACTCCTTGAACTTGCCGCATCTGGAAGTGTACGCACTATTACAGGGTTGAGTGCGCTAACCTGTCAAAGCTTCAGAGGGCGGAGGTATGTCTTGCTGTTACTGCACTATCTCAGCAGTATCTCGTGTGCTCAGGGCAGAGTTTACGGCTATTTACCCAGCATTGAGTTGTCTGGACAGGATTTTTGAACCACGGTGCCGAGCGCGTAAATGACGTTGAGATGAAAACATGCGAAGGGGGTGGACATACAGGATAGCATACGTATCAAACTAGGTCTGCGCTTTAGTAGATGGGATTGAAGTAAGCGTAGATGCACGTTTAGTCTCTTGAGAACAACCTATCGCTCGATTTTTGCCTTATTGTGTCCCTTATAGTCGACATTCCAACCATTCCCTACGGCAGCAATGACCAAATCCCACGCTTTAGTCAACGGCGTCTCGTCCTCGCGCGAGTACACCCCAGATGAACTGGTCGTTCGGGACATCAGAAAGCTGGTCATCGACTGCTGTCGCCAGAACGGCGGTGGACCCAGCGACAGCCCCGGTTCACCGCACTGATAGACACGCGGTCCTCAAGGGAGGGTACGTCGTACAAAAGCAGGCCGACGCCATCGTCACTCTCGTCTCGTGCGGATCCGAGTTACAGTTCGCCGTGCAGGCCGCTGCGAGACTAACCGCTGAGGGCATCGCCACCCGCGTGGTCAGCATGCCGTGCGTGCAGTTCTTCAGCGAGCAGAGCGATGAATACAAAGACTCGGTGCTGTCGGAGGCTCCGTTCACGATCTCGGTGGAGGCGTACATCTCCACCATCTGGGCACGGTACTGTAACGCGTCGATCGCGATGGACTCGTTCGGCTTCTCGGGGGCCAGCCTCGCCAATTATTGCCGCTTCGGTCTCGATACGGAGGGTGTTTACCAAAAGGTTACGAGATTTGTCAATTCGCATAGGGGTGGGAAGAAGCTGCGTAGATGGACATTACTCAAGTAGAAATACTACCCTCTAGCGGGCTGGCATCTTACTTCCATCTCGTTCGCATCATATGTTCACCATACATTTAAAATCGTCGTACTCAATAACTAGTTCGCATCCTTGACAATGCCTTTTTTTTTTTTGAAGCTGTCGAGACATAACGAACTACCAGTTCGCATCACTCGGCAGCCCAAACGAAAACATGTCCTGCTCAGTCGGATCATCCAGGCCGTCCATGGCGGTCGAAATGTCAAAGATGGACGAGAGCAGCGAATTCATGCCCGAAAAGTCATTCATCGGCATGTCCGACGACAAGTAGTCGGCCCCGGCTGGGAGGACCGGGTTCGCCACGTCGCCCTCGTTGAACATCAGCGTGCCCTCTGCGGACCGCGGTCGGCGCTGCTGCGGCGAGGTGGCATCGAGCAGGTTCTCAAACAGCTTCATGACCCAGCGGGCGGGGTCCCAGCCGCCGCGGACGTTGTGCCAGACGACCTGGCACGTGTTGACGGCCATGCGGCCCATTTTCGCCGACGCGGCGTCCGCGGCGAGGGTTTGCGAGTAGAAGACGGCCTGGGCGAGGAACAGGGCGTGGAAGGCCTCGTGCGGCAGGCGCGGGAATGTGGATTTGGTGGTCATGCCGCACGTCAGGTCGAAGATGCGGTGTGCCGCGTTCTCGCATGCGCCGTCGAGTTGGTGGATCTGGGAGCCCGAGTGGACCGAGTCTGCAGACTGTTGGAGACCGGGGCCTAGATTGGCGAGGATCAGGTTGTGGTTGTACGCCAGGGCGAGACAGGCTGGGAGGAGATCCAGCTTGGCCTCGACGTCGCGCCACTTCAGCTCCGGCGGCAGCTCTGCTCGCCATTGCTGGAGCTCGTGGCACAGGTCATCGTGGCTGGGCCCGTGGCCGGTTCGCTTGGAAAGCACGATCCGCCGCAGGATGAGGAAGAGCTTTGTGTTCTCGACGTGGAAAGAGCTGACGATACCGTCGATTCCGTGGCCCACGCCGTCCATGTCATCTTGCGAATCGGCCGCAAAATCCTCTGTGGTCAAGGTCTCGACGTCGGCCACGTCGACGCTATTCATCCGGAACTGACGACCTGAGAACGTCGCGGCGCCAGTATCCCGGACGAACAAGATCCACCACAACCGTCTCAACAGACTCTTGTCCTCTGGTGCCAGCCTCGTGTCCGCCATGGATCGGTGGAGGCCGAGTGACTCTGCGATGATGACCCCTGCTCCGATCCAGCTGGCCGAGTTCCAATAGTTGTTGTGCGCGCCGCCCCAGAAGCTGAGGAGGATGACACTCTGGAGGATCATGATCTTGTTCATGTGATAGCCCAGGTCGAACAGGGCTTTTGCTTTCCTGTAGTAACACAGCCGCGCTTCGATTCTGTTTTGGTACCCGACGCGGAAGAGCACGTCTTCGTCGCAGAAGGTGACCGCGGCAAAGCAGACCGAGTGAAGCAGGAGCCAAGGGATCTGTTGGGCTCGGTAATGCTCGAGAAAACTACTCCGCTTGAAGATCGGATAGATGGGATAGACGCGATCCAGGAACGTCTTGACCAAAATGTCCAGAATCTCTGGGTCGGGAACCTCGAAACATCCTCTGGTTTGTAGGAACTCGATATCCTTGGGGGGAATGTGGCCAGGGTGTTGGTACCCCGAAGGCTGAGGCGGCCCTGGAGGTTCTGGCTTTGCGGGAGTGAGATAATGTAGCTGTGGCTTTGCTCCATGACCTTGATACTGCAGCACAAGCGAGAGGGGGAAGGATTCGTCGAGGTAAGTGATGGAGAACCTGTTCGATCGGTCGGCCGTATGGGTCTTGCGTGATTTGAGGAACGGATCAAAGGTCGACGCCCACGAGATATCTGGATATGGCGAGAGTGTGGTGTTGGACAGACACGAGACGGGCGGCGAGCAATCCAGGGACAGTGGACGTGGGTGGTTACTGTTCTCCAAACCATTCGACAGAGATGCAGACTCATTGAATCCGACGGGATCTGTGACAGACTGCTCAGGTGGACCTAGATTGACCGACGTTGCCGACAGGTGCTCCGTCTGGAACTGTTCGTCGGGTAGTCTTGCTGTTGGCTCGCTCGCAGTTGTGGATCTGTGGTTCAAAGGTGAAGCGTCCGGTCGATGTTGAGATTCTTCGGCCAGCGTCGTCCCTGAAGTATATGATGGGACTGCCGGGTTCTCAGGGCTGCTGCCATGGAGGTCCTTTCCTGGGGGTTCCCGACGTTGCTGCTCGACGGCGACTCTCTGCTTGCGCTTGTATGTTCCTCTTTTGGACTCAAACAGGACACAGTCGGTCTTTCCGCTCAAGACACATCTCGTGCAGGGAGTGCCGTGGTCCATGGCGTCGCATTTGACCCTCTTTTGTCGACACAGGAGGCATGCTTTCGCTGCACGGAATCTGGCTGGCACGAAGGTAGTTCGCGCTGCGGAAGCCATTGTAAGCGCAGGCCTACGAGATGAACCTAGAAGAATATCTCCGGCACACGAACACGGGCGACGAGCAGGTGAATATCAAATGAATGTACTGTATCAGGAGCCTGGGAAAATCTAGACCATAGCATTCTCTCCCTTGCTCAGCTGTCCGCACATTGTCTAGAGTCTGAAGATGAATGAGAGGAGACCCTTCGATCCTCTGTCCTGATCCCTCTGGCCTCCTCCCTTCTTACCTCGTCGCGGGATAAACACGCAGCTAAACTCACTGGGGAAACTTCGCTGTTATACCCCAGGCGGGGTATCATCAAGAAGACACTAAGATTCTAGGCAAGGGCCAAATCATCCTCTCTTGTTCCTGACTGGGTAAAGTGAGGATTGAAGAGGTTCAACTTCGGCTGTATTACTATTGGCCAGGTATACGTAGCTTGGATTTTGGGAGAAGCCTGACAAGATCACGAGGCGGAGAACTTGCGTGATGTTCTCGAAGAAAAGGCTAGTTATTGGGTATAGTAAGTCCAGATTCCGTAGACGAAGAGGTTCTTTTGTTCTGACAAAATGCCGAAGATGTGCCATTACCTCGCCGGGTACATGATGTGACGAGAGCGGCGTATAGTGCCGAATTGGGCAATATACCCGCAATATCCATAATGGGCATAGTAACATTAGGAACCTCTCAAAGGGGTACGTTCATGTACTCGTAGGAACATATTCGGGTATGGAAGGGATACTGACGAGTGTAGGATTTTGGCACAGATTCACAATGGGAGAATACAAAGGATACGTAGAAGGACGCGAACTGTGCGATGCTGCCTTTTCGAGCCTACATAGTCTTGTCTTTGCGGGATCTTCACCTCCAAACAACAAAGGCCCAGATCTCTCACAACCGAGAAATTCAAACGATATTCAACTGCCACCATGATTGCGGGCGCAAAGGAATTCAAGATCGCCGTCATCCCCGGCGACGGCATCGGCGTGGAGGTGATGCCCTGGGGGGTCAAATGCCTTCAAGCGATCGCAAAGGTCTACGGGTTATCGTTGATGTTTGAGGAATTCGACTTTTCCTCGATCAACTACTACCTCAAGCATGGCCAGATGCTTCCGGACAATTGGAAAGAGCTGCTTCTGCCCTTTGACGCCATCTACTTCGGCGCTCAGGGAAATCCTGCCATTGCCCCGGACCATGTCATTCTCTGGGGATCCCTGATCAAAATTCGACGCGAATTCGACCAATACATCAACCTCCGGCCATGTCGTCTCATGAAGGGTGTGCCGACTCCGCTCAAAGACCGTCAGCCCGGCGACATTGACTTTGTTGTCGTCCGCGAAAACACAGAGGGCGAATACAGCGGCGTCGGTGGTAGGCTGTTTGAAGGCACTGAGAGAGAAGTTGTGCTTCAGCAAACAATCATGACCCGCGTGGGTGTCGATCGTGTGATGAGATATGCGTTTGACCTTGCACGATCAAGGCCTCGCAAGCGCCTCACCAGCGCCACCAAGAGTAACGGCCTAGCTATTTCGATGCCATACTGGGACGAGCGAGCGGCAGCGATTGCACAAGAATATCCCGATATTCACACCGACAAGTACCACATCGACATTCTGAGCGCTCATGTCGTCCAAAAACCCCAAATCTTCGACGTCGTGGTCGCGAGTAACCTGTTTGGCGACATCCTGTCTGATCTCGGTCCAGCTTGTACTGGCACGATCGGCATCGCACCCAGCGGGAATATCAACCCTGAGCGCAAATTCCCCAGTCTCTTCGAACCGGTGCATGGAAGTGCCCCGGACATCGCTGGGAAGGGGATTGCAAATCCCGTGGGCATGATCTGGGCTGGCCAGATGATGCTTGAGTGGTTCGGGTTCAAGGAGCCGGCGGCAGCACTTTTGGACGCGATAGAGACTGTATTGGCGAAAGGCGACCTGTCTATCAATACCCCAGACATGGGCGGACGTGGGACCACGGCTGGTCTGGGAGGAGCTATCGAGGAGGAGATACTGAGGCGAGTCAAGTAGGTTCATGCTAGATGTCCTGCTCAAGGATCAAAATTAGATTGATTTTCAAATGAACGTGTTCATCCAGATACCGATATCTATTGAATCTATGTGATGTGATCAAGAAGCTATGGGTAAGCACAAAAAGTCCGAATTAAGAATAATAGGTAGCACGGTCTAGTCCATTAAAGTGGCTCAAGCATAGCTGTGCCTTTACTTTTAGCAGTACTAGCACGTGAGAATCGCAGTCGAAACTGGTGGAGGACATGCTTCTCGTCAGTGCCTTTGTCCAGAACGCGCCGAAAAATGCTCGGCAAATCAATGAGAATAATCATGAGACAATCATATGAGCGTCTTGGACAATTCCAGTTTCCAAGTGTCCAGAACGATGCCAGCGGGTAAATGGTCTGCCCACATATACCAGGTAAGTAACCGGGCCGGGTAGAAATCCCAGGACGGCAATATCGCCAACTCTGATGCCGGTATATCCATTCGTCGAGGTGGCCATTCCCTGGCCCACTTGCCAGAGCATGTACCCCGGATAGACCGAACCTTGTATACCGACATACCCTTGC